TATATATATATTATATGATATATATTTACATATTATATAATATAAATTCCATATCTAGCTTATGTTGCAGACAGATAGTGCAATACATTTTACAAATCATTTTTTTACAATTAAATTTTAGAATCGCGTTTTTAAAAATCGGTTGTTATATTCGCGAATATATTATAATTGTCAGTTATATTAAGCAATTATATTGCAGCATAATCGCATAAATGGAACAAGATTTTATGTAGATTTATAAAATTTTATCTCGCGTGTTAAAATATTTTATTCTTCTTGTGAAAAGTTTATTACTTCATTTGTTTGTAACGTCTTCCTATCCTGAAGAATAGGAAACTTCTATGTATTTTCGATATACATATATTATATCTTTAGTATTGTACATACATTGCACCACGCCTCAGATACATAACCGAGTCATTTTTGTGCCTTGTGCTGCGTTGACGAAACACGCAGGGCGACGTATGCACGAGGAGAGTCATACACAAACTAGTGATTTGGACAACAATAGCAGAGACGATATCTGTGAGTCTATCTTTATTTTATCACGACACATAGTGCCCACATTCACTATATTTTTCTCAAATATCTTTTTTTAAACTGTTTTTACTTTTATACTTTTTCGTGGTGTCAAATTATATCAATAAAATCGATCGTTGTATATAGCTAGTCAAAGCAGTACGTTATATCATCTTCCTTAAGCTTATATATATATTTAATTAGAAATATTAATTGGATAAATTGGTTATAAATGCCAGATAACTTTCTCTCTTTCATTGTACATTATAAACATTAAACATAGTGTAAGTTTGGAATGCCTTATCCACTTGTATACAAATCTAGTTTGCAACTGTGTACACACATGCACACACACATATACACGAATATATTGTGTTGTGTATATGGAAATTTTATAGACAAAACAACCATATGTTATGTGTTGTATAGCAATATAAAATGATTTTATTTTCTTTGCAGATGAAGAAGACATTTTGGAATACCAGTTTCTACACAAGTGAAAAAACTTTGTTAAAATATATGTACGAATAATAATGCGATCAATCGAAAGAGTGGTCAAGATATATTTCCATTAACTTTTTGTTAGTTGAATGGAAGTATTATACACGCGAAACGTATATTTATATATTTAATAGGCCAATTTTGATAAAGTATCATAGAAAGTAAAAATATTAAGACTCGTAATTATGATATATATATGTATATATATATATATATGTGTGTGTGTGTGTATATATATATATATATACTTATATATATATATATATAACGGCTATACATAATAAAATTATGACCCTAAAGGTCATCGTGGTAATTAAAATTTGTTTGACAATTTTGCACCCACGCAAGTAATTCTCCGACTCTTCGAATGATAACGCGCGCGTTTACATTTCCTATTTTCTAAATGAGAAAATTAAAAAGGGATAAGAGAGGGAGGGAGGAAAGAAGAAGAAAAAAGAAGGAATGAGGAAAGATAACAAAATACGGTCCATATGTATATGTATATACATATTAACTGAAGGAAAAATACAATTATTTATTGTACAGTATCTCATCTTACAATATTGTTATTATAACTGAGATCAGTTTTTAGAGTTGATGTACTTTTTCCTTTCGCCTTAAATTTCAATTTTTACAAATCAATATAAATACATCATCATAATAGTATATAAATAAATCGTGTTAAAACAAAATTGTTTTTATAAAGAAAAACACTGCTTAATTTATGTAAAATAATGTAAGTATCGCGGATCGCGTGCAAGAAATTTATTTCTTATTACATTAATTGATATATATCAATCAGTGAGACTTGAAGTAGTGGAAACCAACTGTGAGAGTGACAGCTGTGTGAATATTGAGGATGTCTGCCTCACTTTAATATAACATATTAAAGCGGAGCAAACGTCCCCAATACGTACAAACTGTCACTCTCGCACACAGTCGCACGGTTTCCCACCACCACATATTGACATAGGAAGGCTGATTCCAGTACAATATGTATAGAGCTCATTAGCATTAATATACGTATATGTATATAATCCAAACAAAGAATTTCAAAATCTGTTTGCAAATGTTCAAGTATTAAACCAATTACTCATGTTCTCTCTAACCGCAAATTTATATACATATATAAATATACTATTGATATAGAAAGCTCGAATTTATTAACTTTAAACAAAGTACAGTATCAAGATTCAATAAATTTGTAAAATCAGCTTAAAGGTAGAGGAAAATGTCAAGATTTATAGATAAAAACAATCTATCAAGACTGCTCGTATTTACTATCACTTTTTTTTATTCGACTTCCGTTTTTTCCATAAAAAAAACTGCAAAAGCTCATATTTTGTCCTATAATACCGCTCTCTCTTCTATGTTCCCTCTCTCTTCCTCTATTAGATGTTTCCAAATGACACATATAAAGCGTATCCAATGAACAAATTAAAAAGTATATTTCTCCATTATTTTATACATTTCTAGAAAATGCTGGAAATCTTAAAGAGCACGCTTGAGAATGCATTGTGTCACTCATAACAAATGAGAGAATATTTGTGATAGGAATAAATCGTATCGATATTCGTAGAAACTAT